CTGTGCATGTCTCCTAAGCATCCTGGGTTTCAGTCTGCAGGTTATAAAAACAGGTACCACAGCCACTGGATGTTTACTGAGAGTCTCGGGGTGTAGCTCAGTGGTAAAGCATGTACTTAGCACCTATGAGATCCTAGATTCAACCCCCGGCATAAAACCAAATATACATTTACTGCATGTGTTCTGTTCTACATACTGGTGTTTGAGAAGGTCCAGTGGGGTACCGATCAGCATTGGTTATAACAACTCATTTCCTGAGCCAGGTTTGGGGCTAAGAATTTATGCCGATTACTTTCTTCATTTCACCCTGAGCTTGTATGGGAGCACATCTGTGATGCCATTTTACCGGAAAGGAACACTCACAAGCACCCTTGCCCCTGGGCCAGTGGGATGGCTCAGCAGATGAAGGGTTTGCCTGCCAGCCTCCTTCGTGCTGCTGAGTGTCTCTTGTCTTGATTAGAACACTTTCCTAGCAGCTCTGGGGTCAAGTCCATCACTGAAAAAAAATATCAAAGCAAGAAGACTTTCCAAGGTACAAAATGCCACCCATCCCTCTGCCCTGGAGAAGCTTGTGTGAGGCCCCAAAGCAGCTAACACTGAGCCGACAGATCCACAGCTTCAGCCTTGCCAAGTGTCATAGTGCCAGAGGAAGGTTTCCTTCTAAGATCCAGCGCAGCCACCTCTGAGCCTCACAGGAACCTCAGTTTTGTTATCCAAAAAATACAGACTATGGTTATCCTTGCCAGGGAGGTTGGGAGTTTGCTCATAGGCCCAGAAAGGCCCCAGAACCACTGAACTGACCTCTCCTGATACCCTCGTTGGCAAGGAGATGGCAGTTGGGGCTGGCTTACACCCAGCAAGGTTTCAGAGCCAGCTGTGCTGAGCCAGTGAGAGCTAAAAATAACTATCTTACAGGGACACGGAGGGGGGCAGGGCAGAGTGGGGGAGTGGAGGAGGAGGTGGGGGGGACACTCACTCACCACAGTACTCCCCACTTGAAGGGACGTGTGTGTAGGGGGATCCCTATCCCCAGCTCTGCAAAGCTGGCCACAGGCCACTTGGAGAGGGCAGGGTCTGTTTCTTCTGGCCAAGGCAATGGAAGGATCAGAATCTTCTCCTGTGGTTGGGTGTCAAGCTCACGTGACCGATGGATATGTTTCTAAGTTTCCTAGAAATCTAATATCCAGAATGCTGAAATCACTTTAGCATGTCAGCCACATGGCGTTAGTGAGATAAGTGAAATTCTCTCTTTGCTGTCAAGTCTGTGTGGTAGGTTTCAGCACCTCTCAACTGGATTCAGTCACAATTCAAGGGCTGCACTCATTTCCTGTGGCTGCTGGGACACATTACCACAAACTCAGTGGCTCAAAGCCACCTTCTCCCCCAACCCTGGAGAGTTAGCTGCCTGAATCGAGATTTCCAGGGTGAGATCAAGTTGTGAGGCTCTGGTAAAGGTGCCCCTCGTGCTGCACACAGGCCTCTAGGTCAGCTACATACTGAAGTTTCTATTGTCATCTCTGTGTTTCTCTTCATTTTCATCTTCTCTGCTTTGGGCTCTTATGGTTCTTTTTATAATCTCTCTGGTGATGACTGCCTTACTGCTGTACGCCCATGTTCGTTAGTGATCTCTCTACAGGACAGGTAGCTCCAGGGGCAAAGGTGAGAGTATAGTCAGACTCCTGCTGAAGCCAAAGCTCAGTCGCAAACTAACTGTGGCCCATGGGGCAAGTTACTTCATATCCCGAGACAAGACTACATTTGTCTTACCTGTGAAATTGATAACCAGTGCAGATTAAGGCAACATAATTAGAAGGTGAAGTGCTTGTCATCTGCAAAGGGAGCTTTCCCAGCAGAAATATGTGTGTATATGTGTGTGGTGTGTGGTGTATGGTGTATGTATGTATCTCTGTGTGTATTTGGCATATGTGTATCTGTGTGTATCTGTGTGTGTTATGTGTGTATGTGCATATGGTGTGTGTGTGGTATGTGCTGTGTAGTGTGTGTGTCTGTGTAGTGTCTGTGTGTGTGGTGTATAGTATGGTGTGTATGTGGTATGATGTATATGTGTGTGTATACGTGTGGTGTGTGTGTGTATGGTATATGTTCCCATGTAGTAGGAGACCTGGGTTCTGGCAGTGTGTGGTGGTGTCCTGAGTTAGCTCACAGGGCTTAGTGGCCTCATTTAATAGATAGGAAAACTGAGGCCGAGTGAATATGGGCTTCTGAAAAGGTTGCCCCTCAGGGTCTGTGTCTATCACCACCCTCCTACCCGTGGTTTGAGCTCAGAGACAGCAAGCGACTGTCCTAACAGTATTTTGAGGGTCTTGGGGTACCCTCATCACCCCACAGTACAAAAATATATATGGGACATGAATGTCCCAGGGAAGACAGAGGTAGCAGGGAGGAGCTGTGTCTCAAACAGGCTCCATCACTATTGGGCTGGGAACTACTGCATAGATGGATCTGTGCTTGGGGGTGAGAGTATGGAACAAGATTAGTTTTGTGTACAGAGTGACCCCAGCAGGCTCCTGGCTGTACCAGTAAGGCAGGCTGTGCGCCATGGCCAGAAGACTTAGGCCCACATGGCTTGGCTCTTCTGGAGGAGTTGCTTCCCTGAGTGCCCCCCACCCCACAAGCTCTTTCCCTAAAACTTCTACAAAGGGGCCTGTCTGGGGAGATGGCTCAGTCAGTAAAGCTCTTGCTGTACAAGTGTGAAGACTTGAGTTCAGTCCCCAGCAGCTACATAAAAAGCCACCTACAAGCACCTTCACACACACGTGCATGTGTATTCACACTCACATGCGCGCGCACACACACACACACACTCACACACACACACACATACACATTGAGAGATAGAGAGGGGACTGTTGCTAACTCTTCAAATACAGTCCCTGTTGCTGGGGGGTGGGGTGGGGAATGGATCTAACTACTCCATTGGCTTGTGGGAAGCTGAGGGTATAGGTATTGTGGGAGGGGAGGAAATGCTCCCGACTTGGTAGGTGGCCTGGTCCAGTGTCTGCCCCACTCTGGATCTTCCTATTGTTCTTCAGTGGTTTCTGGCTGGTCATGTTAGCACTGTAACTCTTGAACTTTCCCAGGAGGAAAAAGCATGAGACAGGTGAGGCTTGAGGAAAGTTCCTAGCAGAATGCCAATGGCCCAGGTGACTATAATACCCAGCTCCCTCTGGTATGCTCCCTAAATCCCATCTGCACCACATGCGTGCACTCTGTGTAAACACATACATGTGTGTGCATGCACACCCCAGATGTGGAGGCAAATGAAATCCAGCTTCTGGCACAGGGTCATTAGGGGATCCCACCCAAGAAGCCTCCCCGCCAAGGCAGAGTGCTGCAAGCAAAAGGCGCCTCTGTTGGAGAGGAAGCCCAAAGGGCTGGCAGCTGTTCCAGGAGGAACAAGAAAGCATACTAAAGTATCCCCAGGAGTGCCCTTGAGTCTCTGGGATCATGGTAACTTTTCTTTCTGCCTGGTGCTTCCTTCATGGCTTTTCACAAGTGTTTCTCATCTACATAGAACCTCACAGTCAAAGGCACAAATCAGTTCTTCCCACTTTTTATCATTGTCTGTGGGTCACCTGCAGACTGGACAATGTGGCCTCTGAGCAAATGCAGGGTTGGCAATATTCTGCAGAGTTGGCCCTCAGACTGCGTGAAGGACCCATTGCCTTCCAACCATGTCATGGCTGGAGGTGTTACTGGAGGGACATTGGGAGGGAGATTGGACCCTGAAGAAGGGGCTTGCAATACCAGTTTCCTTGCCATGGTTGCTCTGGCCTTAGCTTTCCCATATGCAAATGGGTACAATCTCATTTCACTGTGCACCTCAGTGGGTGTCTGAGAAACCCAGTGAAATGAGATTTGCCAGCAGCTTGCCTCCCTGACCTTCAGTCACCTGGAAGAGAAAACACAGGGCTTCTTTGAAAGATAGACCATCTGTCTGTCTGTCTAAACCACTGTCTCACCCTTCTGTTAACAGGCCCAGGGCCCTGCAGGTGTGCGAGAGCTCATCTGTGATGATTTCTGTGTTCTGGCCAGTTGGCTTATCTATGTTTTGGCTGGTCCAGCCTTTGGTCATCCAGCCCTTGCTTGTAGCCAAGACACGCCCCATTCCTCTAAGGTTGTTCTCTCCTCATATTTCAGGCTGATTTGAGGCTCTCTTCTTCCATGAAGCCTTCCTTCATTTGTCCAATGGATTGATTCTATGCTTTTCCCGCCATTAAACTTTCAATGGTAATTATCATCATGTGGGCTTCCTGGTGAACTAGAAGAGTCAGGAGAGTGGGTTGCATGTCTCACTGTTTCCTCTGCAGTGTCTAGGCATAGATGACACACATGGCTGTCTCTAACGCTTCACTGAAAACACAATGCCTCTTACACTGTGTGAAGACAACAATCTCCTCCCATCAGAAGTACACCATTAAAGGTGTGGAGATGCAGGTAAGCAGAATGCTTGCCCACCATGCAGGAGGCCCTGGGTTTGAACCCATCACCTCATGTAACCAGGCAGGTTGACGCACACCTATGATACCAGCACTTGGGAGGGAGCTAAAGGCAGGAGAATTAGGAATTCAGCATCATCCTTGATATGTGATGAGTTTGAAACCAGTCTGGGCTGCCTGAGACTTTTAAAAGAAGGAGATGGGGGAGGGGGAGGGAAGGAAAGGGAAAGGAAGAAGAGTAGGAGGAGGAGAGGGGAAGGGAGGGAGGGAGGAAGGAAGATGCATGGATGGAGGACTGGCAGACCCTAGCAGTGTAGACCCCCTTTGGCTGGGCACTCTGAGCAGTCATGAAGGCGCTGTGTGTGTGTGTGTTGGACACCAGCCCCAGACATGCATGCTTGGGTGTGCTTCTGTCTTTTGGGTAACGAGGCTGGTAAGTTTAGAGGTTTAGGTGAATGGGGAGCTGAAGGGGATGAGGATCCTGGGTATTTCCCCAGAATCCTCTGTGGGTGTAGTCTCACAGGGACAGGAAGCCTGAAATTCAAGGCTTTTGTTGTTTGTTTGTTTTATCTGTAAAAACATCAAAGATCTTTAATTCCAATGAGCAAGCAGGACAGCTTCTGGGTTTACCTGTTTGCATGTCTGTTAACATAGGAACTCAGTCCAGGACAGGTTAAATTCACATTAATGTCTGACCCTTCTTTCTGCCCTGTGACCTAGTTTTGAGTCTGAACAGAGAGATGGGGCATTTTTCCCAGTTATACCCTGACCTCCAGAGAATGTCTAGTAGGAGTGCCCCTCCACTTAGGCCCCACAGCCTCGGCTCAATGTCCGTGCCTCAGGCCAGGCTCTCTTCATCCTGATCTAAGCTGGTCTCAGCATTCTGGACCTGCTGGCATGCTGGCCGACTGGTGTTGTGTAGTCTGTGTGAAGACAGCACTTCTATCTTCTTCTCCACTGTCTCTGTACACACAGCTCAAGTCCTTCCAGTCTCGTTGTAGCCACAGCCAAGATCCTGTGCCGCTCAAGTCATGCCAGCCTCGGCCCATCCTTGTCCTGGACTGTGGGCTCCAAGGGCAGGGCCTGGCTGTCTAGCTAAGTCTCCCAGTCTAAGCTGGTTCCAGTCAGGAGACACTCTCCTCCCCCATCCCTAGGCACTGGTGTCCACAATGCATTTGAGGAACATTGTGTCATCTTTTACATAGGCGTGCTTGGATGACTGCAGCTTGCTGAGAGGGAAGAAGAGCGGGCAGCCACTGGCCACGTTGGTCTCGCTCTGTGGCCGCTGGAAGGAGGCTGAGCTCAGGTCAGGCCGGAAGGCATCAATGGCATGCTCACGGTTGTTCTGGTCAAGTAGCATAAAGGTGACCTGTAGGGTGGGAGCAGGTGGAGGGTCAGGCTTCAGAGGATGGCACTATTCCTCATGGAAGCCAAGTGTTTGGAGTCAGAAGGGCTCCATGATCACGGCTTGGGCTGTGCCTCTGACCCTTAGTTCACATGGGGTGGAGGCGACAGTGTCAGGACTTCACATCTGTGCAAGGGAGTGGAAGGAGCATCTGGTACTATGACAGCTTCAGGCTTTGTCCTACACTGGCCCACACAGCAGGAAGTCAGTGGAAATTCTGTGTGTGTGTGCGCGTGTGTGTATATGTGTATATGTGTGTGTGTCTATATATGTGCATGTGTATAAATCAGAGGTCTTCCTTAATTGCTTTCCTCATTCATTCATTCATTCATTCATTCATTCATTCATTCATTCAGACTTTGAGATAACTGTTTAAGATATGCTGTCTGGCTAACAAGCCCCAGGGGTCCTCAGGTCCCCTCCTTCTCAGTTCTGTGATGACAGGTGCCTGTACCTGGCTTTTGATGTGGATTCTGGGGAATTGAATTCACCATTTAAGCCTTCTCCCTAGGCCAATAGCAGTGGGAAGTCTGATGTCATAGTTACATTGGTGGCTGAGACTAAGATGTACTGACAAGGAGGCTGGACACAGGCACCTAGCCTTGGCTCTTGACTCAGAAACTCGAGCTGGGACCTCTCATGACCAGGCAGAGAAGCAGATTTCTGCTGGGAGCGGGGCTTCTGCAGAGCGGAGCATCTGCTGTACCCAGAACAGACCATGTAACCTCCCTGAGAAGTGGGTCACCTAAGCAAGATGCAAACTCTGCCCTGGCACAAGCCCTTGAATGTACCCCAGGAAACACGGCTTCTCACCAATTGAAGCTGTTCTTGTTGTCACCTGAATTCCTGGGAAGGGCTTTAGACAGCCTAGTGCTTGGGTCTTCACCCTCCTCAGGGTGCTCTGTTCCAGACACTGCAGCTCCTGCTCAGAGGGCTGGGGGAGTATTGGCTGCAGGATTTGCATTTGGCTTCATTTTATAAAAAGAAATTGATTACAGTAACCATGGGAGGCTTGCCCAGGTCTCAAGTCCATGGCTAAAATCAGCACGACCCAGGTTACCATGCCCTCCCCAAAACCATCTTCTTTGGGGCCCATACCTTGTTCCGGAAAGGCCAAGGCAGTAGAGCATCATATTCTCCTCTCATGATCACAATGAACAGGGACAGGTGGGTTTTCTTGCCTGAGCCATCTCCGTTCAGGTATAAGCGCAGGCACAACTTATAACCATACTTGGCAGTGTAGAACGCTACAAGGTGAAGCCAGTGTCATTACAGTGTCATTGCAGCACTGGGCAGTGTGGATGAGGGGATGGGGTTCAGCAGACAGGGACCTGAGGATATTGGGGTTTGGGGCCCAGCTCTCTTCTCTAGGAGAGTGTTGAGGAAGGCCATACTCTTATTGCCTAGCCCTGGGGCTCGCACACTTGACAGTGCTGACTTAGCAGTGGGGTTGAGCTGACATTTGTGGTTTTAATACATTCCTGGGGTTCCATGTTGCCTGCCTCCCAGTTACACATGGGAGCTACCATTTAAACCAACCATCAAATAATTAGAGACTGAGAGGGAGGGGAGTGGCTGGGCATTGTTTTTTTTTTTTTTTTTTTTTTTTTTTTT